TATTATGATTTTGAATAGATTATCTAGCAATTCGATAATTGAATTTGGTTCATCAAATTTATGCTTCATTATTAGTATAATTAATAGATGTTCAATTATTTGTAAGTTTTGTTGGCTTATTCCATAGCTGATGAAGTAGTTCACAAAAAATACGCGAGATGTCAGTGTATGTAATTTGGCGACAGAATAAACCACAATATTCTTGAACGCACTTTTCAAAATGTATTCTGTACATGTACCTGTCTTGTGTGAGTATGATTGTCATTGTATGACCGGGGGGGAGGGGTTTAATCATACGATATTTAATTGCCTACCCTGTCTCGAAAACCTGTGCACGCCACTGACTATATCTGAGGGCATATCATTATATCAGCCGCAGGACGGCCAGATAGGCTAAACATAGGCCTTTCCCACTTACTTTTAAGGGCCTAGTACCTACGAGTTTATTTACGTTTAGCTAGGTCAGACCGAGACCGCGTCCACCGTTCTGATTGGCCGGCTCCAATAAACTAACCAATTAGGACGCCAAACGCGGTCTCGTTTCTCTAGAGAATGAATAACTAATGTAAGAAACGTAACGGATCTAACAATGGAAACAAAGTAAGTACTAAAACATAGCAAACGGGACGATATATTTACATTAATAATATTAATCAAAAATATTTCACATTCGCTTTGAAATTTTGCCACAAAGTAAATATTTTGCCCACTTATCGATCAATGTTTAACTTAACTGAAGTACTAGTTCAATCAATTACTTATAATTAAATTAGCGGATTGGGCTATCGTTCATAATTATTTTGATAATAATGAATTGAGTTTGGATGTTATAGTTCATAATTGGAATTATTTGTAATAATAATATTGTAAAACTATAATTTGATGTGGTTGTTTTAAAGCAGTAAAATGTAACTAAAAAGGATCCAATTTGAATAAAGAGTAACGTCAATAGTATTCATTATCAACAGCCAATATGCCCACTTCTGCGCAAAGCCTCTTCTCACACGGAGAAGGTTTGAGCGTTAATCACCATTGCTCAATGCGGGTTGGCGGTCAATGGTATTATTAAATAATAATTGCTGTTCCTGATTTTATGGGATAACCGTAGATTCTAAGGATTTAGAATATTGTGACCTAATGTTAACTACATTATTCGTGACTAAGAAAAATAACTCTTAAGTCAGAGTCCTACCTTCCTCAATTTTTGAGGAAGGTAGTCGACATTGTCTTGTTTCGTTTGTTAGGTACTAGTATAATTATTATCTAATGCTCGCTAGACCTTACGATTTAACTGTACAGTTTTAAATGTACAGTCGAACTGTACATGTTTTATCACTTTACTTGTTTGTGTATATTGGACTTCATTAACACTACCTTAAGTCCTAACATAACATCACGCCTTTTATCCCCGAAGGGATAGGCAGAAGTGCACGTTACGGCACTTAATGCCACTGTACAATATAACACCCACTTGTCACTATTTATGTTATGAGTCCCATATAATAGGGGGTGAGTCTATTGCCATATATCGGCCACAATTTCAAACTCCAGGCGAATTTTGAAACTGAGATTTTTTTAAAATACTTAACCCGACTCGGGAAACGAACCCGAAACCCCTTGTCCGGCAGTCACACTTGCGACCATTCTTATTCTTCATTTCTTATTGATGTAGAGAAATAAGAAATAAATTTTGGACTTCATTAACATTAACTTAAGATATCACCAAAAATAACAACTGTGACCTCAAATGAACTCGACATTTCACATCAAAGGCAAGTTTTTCTTAACCTGGCCAATATTAATAAAGCACAAATTAATAATTATTGTACTCACGAGCACGATGACCGCGATGACTGCAGAATGACACATGTTGCGCTTATAATTTTCAAACTACAACTAAGACAATGTCATTGTCCGACTGCTCTAAGAGAAATCAATATAATTGTTCGGTCGGAACAATTATATGTTTATAAAAATACTTTTTATGAGGTGATCAACGTCTTCATTAGTGCAAAGGTGTGCCATCCTTGTTATTTTTTTTGTAGAGGTATATAGCAGTGTTTTTTCCGGTGTATAGTAAGATAGTTGTATTACCGGTGTGAGTTTGTGCTGTTGTAGTGGAAATTGAATAGAAATGAGGTCTATTATTTTAATAATTCAACGAATAATTTACTCATGAGTTTTTAACTCGTCGAGTACTGGTTTTGTAGACACAATTATAGAACAATAGGTTGCGGTCACCGGTGACCGCTTGGTGTTTGACAGTTTAATATTGATTAGGATATTAACTGTTTTTATTATGTACTATACAAGGTGTAGTTTTGAAACCGTGGCATTTCTCGGGGGCATGTCACAGAAGTCATAAAGGTTCAATGTAAGAGAAAGTTTCGGGCCAATAGTTAAAAATACAGCTATAATAAATCGTTCAAGTTCGACAGTATTTCAGAATAAGCGACAGCAATCATTCTTATTGGAGTTTTATGGAATTAGGAATAATATCAATTACGTGTTTGAGTTTGTGTGTGTTAAGCCGCGTTACAAAACTAATTACAAGACGACGGCGTGTAGTTCGCACTTACGGATCCGTAATTTTACAGAAAAATGAAAAATATTTAAGTACAATTTTATTTATTGATTCGGACTCAGAATTGATAGCCGAGTTACCTCCTAGAAAATGACGCGGCTTTAAAACAACACCTTGTATGTAGGCTGTTTCGCAGGTAAGTGGGTGTATGACGTGTGATTGTCGAATATGGAGTATGAGCATCGGGTTGAACAAGGTTGGTATTCGAAATTCTTTACAGTCTTGGATATTTTTGTCGTTTTTATTTGCTAATGTTTGACAATAGAATCTAAACCATTAAATAAGAAGTCTTATGCTTAATTAAATAAATTTGAATAGTCAAAAGGAATAAAAAGGCTAACGTCAGTTTATGTTTGATTTATTTTTACTAGAATAAATTGATTTTTTATAAATAAAAAATAGTTATAGCCTATTTAACAACTGTACAAACTTTAACAGCCAAAACTTTTAATAACTGAATATTAAACATCAAAATGCAATCACAACTAAGTTAAATAATCTGGTTTTAATGACGTCTGACGTGAAAAAGTTGGCATATTCATAACATTGCATGCGGAGAGGCAAGCTGGATAAAATCGCATTTGGCCGCAAATAAAAGGAAGCCTGCACGTACGACCCCGCTGCGCGCACGCCGCAAGTGTGTGGTTCCAATGTTTGGGGCGATACGGTGAATAAATATAGTGTATATTTTGGTCATTTCCATGGGGTGAAAATTGTTTTTGATACAATTTAAGAACATCGTAATTTAAATAAATCACGTATTATAAAGTACTTACCTACTGGGAACAGATTTGTACTTATTTTTATGAAAAGTTAGTAATCTAAGAATTCAGCACAATGAGTACAATTTTTTTAAAGAAAAGCGTACCAATACCAAGCACAATAATGCAATTTCAATCGCATAAAGGACGAAATTAATTTATTACTACTTACTTTTTAAACACAAATAATGGCAACGAGATTAAACTGCGACATTCATGATATATTTTATCAACAAATAACAATGACGTATCGTACAACAATGTACTATCGCTTCGCCTCGGCGCGCTCGTAAGGATGCTTATGATGCGGTGTTGCAGTTTATTTAATTTCCTCAAAGGCATTACGTGGAAAAAGCATGTTTTCAAGTGCCTCCCTGGCTTCCAGTACGCTCTGCCTTTTTGCCAAGCCCTTTCATGTTGGAAATATATTTTGACAGGAGCTTCTTTTGATGGTGAGAGTGTCTTCAAGTGTACGTGCGTCTTCTGTGTTATAAGATGGTGTTTTTAGTTACTGATTTTGTTAGTATTTCTGGTTTCTTAATAATAACATTTACTTAGTTCATAATTTGATGGCTGGCATACTCAAAAATGATAGAGGAAAACGATTTTATCTATATGTATAAAAATGAATCCATTTTTCCCTTGGTCACGCATCACGCGTGAATGGCTGGACCGATTTCACTAATTCTTTTTTTGTTGTATTTGTTATTATTAGAAAAAGATTCTTACGACATAAAAAAATTCTGAAAATCCTACGGAACGGGAGAAAACGGGAGTGCGCGTACGAAGTCGCGGGCAGAATCATTCATGATTTAACTGTTAAAATGCGTTGTGTTTACAAGATTTAAGGTTAATGTAGTAAAATTAGAAGATGTCTGATATTCGAACTGTTTAGAGTAGATTCCAATTTCTACCATTATCATCTTAGTAATTGACCATTAATATTTTTAAGGTCAACTATAATACTGCATATACTCGACTTTAAAATCAAACAAACAACATATTAAGTACACCCACATTTCTTCATCGCATTACAAACTAAACTAACTCAATACATCACATAGGTTCCTAGACACTGAAGCAGAGCCTCTAAGAACAGCTCTATAAACGTCACAGTGCTCGCACTTCGGCTCTTCATAGTGACACGTACTTGTCTCTACCGCGGAGCTACGAATATAAGAATAGTGATTAAAGGTGTCATGTCTTGATGGTATCAGCAACATCGCTGGGGAGAAAAATACGATTGGGTCTGTCAATCTGAGATCGAAATTAAACTTTAAGGTCATTTTATCATTGCTTGAGAAATACAAACAAGATTAAACTACAAAGGCGCAATACTACTTTTTTTAATACTTGATAATCCGATGTTTGGCCCCTTTTTCGCCAGGTGATAAGCGATGATGAGGCCTACGATGGAATACGTCTGCTCATAAGCACACTATTCACTCGGGCCTTGAAGACACCCAGGTTATATTCTTTAGGAAACACAAACTCTGTCAAAGAATTCTACTCCTTAACACTCCTTAGTACATTAGCTATCTATCAATAAGAGTCCAGTTAAAATCGGTGCAACCATTTCAGAGATTAGCCAGTACAAACAGACTAACAGACAAAAAATTTTAAAAATTGTAATTTTGATATATGTGTCGTATGTATATTCATTTGTATGGTACGGTTATTTCAATATTACAAACAGACACTCCAAGTTCATTTAACTTATACGTATATGTATAAACATATATAAACAAATATATAAACTTATATTATATATTTATCTATACAAATATATATGTAATATGTATAGATATATCTTTTGTACAGGTGGACCATCACATACTTAGGTAGTGGACTCGAATTTTCTAGAACCATTATTTTAGCCCTTTTGGAATTTAATTTGAAGTGGAAATTGAACGTTGGTTACAGTATCGATTCTCGGGATTAATAATTTGGTCGGGTTAACTATTAATAAAGTTTAATTCGAAATTCTCTGTAATGATTAACCTAATTGTACGAATTCTGGTATTGAAATAATCGAATGTAAAGTATTTGGGACGGTAGGCTTATCTAGGTTAACCTAGATAAGCCTACCGTCCCAAATATAGGACAGTGCAATTAAAAAAACACTAAAGTTGCTTATGTAAAGTTGAAAAATTGTTTCAGAATTATAGTTTCAGGCTTTCGGGTTAATAACCACTTATTATAGTAAAGTACAATATGTATGTATTTATATATGTATAGACTCGGGTAGCGTAACAATATAGAGGTATATATGTAATGGAATGACATGATTTTTATATTTGCAAAAAGGTTACAAATAGAATGTGTCCACATTTTATCAGATAAATTAAGTTGTCGTAAGTGTGGGAGAGCCATGCTTCGGCACGAATGGGCCGGCTCGACCGGAGCGATACTACGGCCTCACAGAAAACCGACATGAAACAACGCTTGCGTTGTATTTCGTCGTGTGAGTGAGTTTACCGGAGACCCAATTACCTCCCTCTCTAGTCTCCCGAATCCCCGAATCCTCCACAATCCTCAAATTCCCAATTCCCAAAAGGCCGGTAACGCACTTGTAAGTTGTAACGCATTGGTGTTTCGGGTGTCCATGGGGTTTTTGTTTTTGTTATTTCTAAGCCATAATTTAACATGAAGCCTTTTGACCAACATTTTGACCAACAAGCGTATCTCCCACGTTTCGTCAATCCTGGTCCACACCGTAGGGATTCGTTCCACGACTGTGTTACTTGAATTTATTCTTGAACCTTTTTTGAAGGATTACGTTGACAAATTGCGTAAGCGCGCGCGATTTGTCTGTCCCCAGTACCCATATGCAGAGGTGGATTAAGCCTATAGAGCGCCCTAGCATAGGCGCTCCAAATTTTTGACGCCACTGCCACTTAATCGGCACGCGCGTCTTGGCGTCCCGGACCCATTTTTCAATATTTATTTTATGAGTCCCATGTAATATGGGGTGAGCGTATATATATATATATATATATATAGGCGCCCCATTGCAACCTGGCGCCCTGGGCACTTACTTAATACGTCTTAGTGGTAATACGGCTCTGCTCATATGGAGCACAGATTTTAATGCTAATACGATGTTGATATAGCTTTCAGTAGCTGAAAGGGAGGTGTTCTGTATTCACCGTCTTTTGGGAATGATAGTGTTCGGATTGTAATGTATGTCTCCTCTTGGAGTTGTGTGTTTTAGTGTGGGTGGTGGAAATATGTCGATTTTTTTTAAACGTTGCCCCACATTAGGATTTTCTCCTGTGTTGTGGGTGCGTTTACAAACATACAAGTTCACATACACAATGACACCCAGACCCGAAACAATAAATTTGTAGATCACGCAAAGTGTTGTTCCGTGTGGGAATCGAACCCGCGGCACGTTGCACGGCAGCAGGTTGCCCAGCCATCGCACCAACCGTGCAGTCGTACAAAATGGCCTGTAAGTAGATTTAATTCCCGAATTATGTCTTTCAGTTTAATGGTTATAGTAGCTAACCACCTTTTCTTAGACATTCATATTTTGAAGAA